ACTGGTATTTTTGCTGAAGATAGAGTATAAATATTGTGATAGTAACTTTTATTATAAGGGAGTTTTTGCAATTTGCAAATAATCTATCAATGAATATCTCGATTGACAAAATATAGCATTGTAACATATATTTGAAATGAGATTAAATTTATTAGAAGTATTAGAAAATAAACTCCACCAATCCTTTTGGATCCTCAGCATACTTCAAGTACACTTTTACATTTGAGGGTGTTCTGTTATATAAAAAGTACTGTAGTTCTATTTATTTTAAACTTTCTCTGAGTTTTTCAGTGCTTCAATTGGTTATCTATAATTTTAAGGATCAATTATGCAAAATATGTCTTTCCTCAATTAAATTCCTGTTCATCTGTCATAGAGGCTCAACCATCAATGGGGTTCTATACTGCAGTGTTCCCCAATCTTTTTGTGCCTGCAGACTGGTACATTATCATAATATTTTTTGCAAACCTGCAAGTTTCCAAAAATTTTCTGCAGACCAGCAAAGTTTCATAAGCATTTTTAAGATTCAAAAAAGTTTTAAATGAAAGACATTATGGCAGGTATATAAAAGTTTATTCTTTGCAAAAATCAAGAGCACCAATGAAGCAGCTATAGCTGAAAGAATGGTGGGGTTAAAAAATGTATCTCAAATGAAAAATTAAAATTTTTTATTTCACCATTCAAGTGAAAATATGTCTGAAGTGCTACCAGCAGGAGAAAAGGCAACTTTTGTTTTTCATCAAAGAATTTTAAGTACCACTGTTTTCTTAAAAGTTTAGATGAAGAAAACAGACTTAATTCCCATGTCTGATGAATTTTTCTGAAGATTTCCGGCAGATGTGCAAAAAACTTCTGCAGACTGGTGCCGGTCTGCGACACCAGTCCGCAGCATGTGTTGGGAACACTGCTGCTGTACAGCGTACACAGTTTCAATTCATCACTTTAATATTTTCCTCTCACTTTCTAAGCTCTTCCATCTTCAGCAGAGATAAATTTCAGCCTTTTTTTTGAGCAGGAACAGCATATGTATGCAATTTTATGAATTGGCTTCATAAAAGAAAAATCTGAAACGCACTTCTAAATCTGCTTGCCCTTTTCTGTCTGCATCTGACAGGTATTCACGTTTATTCCAGTTCCCACAAAGCACTAGTTTCCTTAAGTGAGTTCTGCAGCCACTTCGCTTCTCCTTGCTTAGATAAATATCCTCGTGATCCCTGCACCTCTTTATTTTGGCGACATGGCATTCATCCACCAGTATTCTGACTGCTCCGTAAATGCGGTGGGTCGTAATTGACCAGCTGAGAGGGAGGGAGACCCGTGTTCAGCCTCGTGCGTTTCCCAAACCTATAAAACCACTGCACTTCCAGAAGTGTGTAGCCTTCCACCTGAGGCAGCCCAACCTGCAGTGTTTTCCGTCAGCTGGAAGCAAGTCAGTCACGTTGCCGGCCGCGTGAGTAAAATGCTCGAGAACCGTCGACGGGAGAGAGCCAGAGAGAAAGTAGGGGAGGGCATTCCGGTGAATTACGAGCAGGGCACGCAGTTGAGGGAAAATCCAGAGGGGTTACGGGGGGTCCCCACCGGCTTTTTTGCATCCCTGCCCCTGTGCTGAACCAAGTATGTGATACTGTACCTCAGAGGTTACTGTGTGTCAACGCTTCCTTCGGGTTCTCCAGAAGACAGACAGAGCCTCTCTGTGTATGCCCACACGTGGAGGATCAACGACTAAGTCACAGGAGACAGTGGTGTCATACAATGAACCTTACTCCTTTCAACAAGCCGTTTGTTGAAACATGCTCTTTCATTAGAAAAATCCTTCAACTAGAGAATGAAAACGGTCAAATTTGATCAAGGACGCATGAAACGGCCTTGTTCACAATCCTGTAATCAGTGTTTAAAGTGATTACTGAAATTGTCCTGTTTGAATTAATATAGGAAACCCATCCCTTCAATAATACCATATAAAATTATTGCACAAAATGCCAAAGTGAATTACACGGCATTTAGAGCAGTGAGGATTACTCAAATTATTTTCTCTTAACAATGGCAGACAAAGTCGAACAAAATCAACTGCAGGTTGTACACGGAAATAATTGACAATTTTCTGGGATATGAGCATTCATCATAAGGGATGGAGATGGTTTTGTGTTATTGTTTCCTGCAAGCACCAAAAAGTATCATGATAATGGCAGGTTTCATTTGGCTGCTACTTCTCTTTAAGTGGATTGGGGCTCATTCTCTTCTCATCCCATTAGCCACGGGCCATCCTCTTGATCCCAGAATATGCAGTACTTTAATCTTGTGATGATCTCCGCGAAAATTGCAAGAGCTTTATAGGAGAGTGTATCTCATTCATGGGAGAATACAGTATGTTTAGGCTGGACTGTTAAAATGGCTTGAAAGAGATGAAGTTGGTTAGAAAAATAAGAAAAAAGGATTAAACGCTTTATTCTTTAACATTTTTAAAACGCGAGAAAGTCGTACGTGTTGATGAAAGTACGGTGTCAGAAATGGGAACTAAAATCAGGAGGGAAATTCAATTCACTTCGGACTTCCAGCAATTGTGCATGCTTTTAATGATTTTTAATTATAACTCATTAGCAGCTAATGTTTTCTTAACATTCTGTTTTAGAATTTTCCGTGCTCTTTTTTCTCTGTTTCACCCTCACAATGTTTACTCTGGAACCAATTGAACAATTTTCCAAACGTTACTATGAGAAATTGTAACTCACATAAATAATCCCTTGAGCTATGGACTACTGGTATACAGTACCAGCAGATTGCATTAGTGTTGTTGCTCAGGGCCGTACTGTACATGGAAGGTGTGCATTTAAAAATCTTCTTAATGTGGGATATCTGGCAGACGTTCCAAAAAACTCTTTTTGACATGAAAGTAAACTCAAAACCTCCAGAAAAAAGTCTGATTGTGGTATCACAAACTAAAAAAAGTATTGTTTGAAAAGTGTCAAGGTTTGAAATTCTTACCAAATCTTACAGACAGGATCAAATACAGTGAGACCCCCACATGTGGATACCTTGACATGGGGACAATTTGGCATAGGGACATTTATTTTTCAATAAAAAATCATTAAAAAGGCCCAACATAAGGACACTAACTTGACATGAGGACATTGCATGATAAAATTGCCAATAAATTTTAGGAAAATTGACCTTTATTAGGCTTAATTGCAAGAAACAGATATTTCTAACCCTAAAATTTATTTAAGAAAAATTCTTTGGTACTTTTACCATCACTTTCCCACCCATTCAGCTAATGAAAAAAAATTACCTGTAGCACAGAGGGACTTCCTTCTCTTTTTGGGACTTGGATATTATTTTTACAGATGCCAGCATTTCAATGAACTGTACAGTGGTATACTATTTGATGCTCCAAATGTTCTTATTGGGCTGAAAAGATTTTCACTGAATCAAATTCAGGAGGCAAAAATTTTTTTCCATAGAATTCTGAAGAATATTTTTTACATATAGCACCAATTAAAAATTATGCGCTTTAATGTAAGCCTATGGGAAAGCAAGACTTGACTTGGGGACAATTCAACTTAGGGACACTCTTGATGCACCACTTATGTAGGCATGTGGGGGTCTCACTGTACATTGCGGGACTTCCGGAAGGAACAGCCTCTGTGCCACAGACGCGCATTACGCCGTCTTGCCGGCGAGCATGCGCTCTTCCCCGTCGCGTCGCCCGCCCCCTTCGGCAAAGCTCACCGAGTGCGCCCCAGGCGAAGGACCTCAGTCGTGTGACACGATACCACGGGCAGGGACGGGTGAATCCGATAAGCTCTGTCTTACTGCGCAGCGCGTAAAAGAAATTATTTTGTCATGTCGGTGTGTTATTGAATTTCACGGGGAAAATTCTGTTTCCCTGCTTGTAGGTCGCAGGGAAACATAATTCCGTGATCGAATTCATCGAAGTGTCTATTTCTTCATTCATCGAATCCTCAAGCAGAATTATTCCTCCGGGGGACTTTTTTCCCGGTGGGAAAACGAATTAAGCAGCACAGATACAGTTGGACGTCAATGCATCAAGTTCTAAGCCTCCCTAAGCACGTCGAATTTTTGTTCAGTTACTGTATTAGTCTAGTCCCTGTCTGAGTTCTCTCAAGAGAAATATATTTTAGAGCGCCCCAATTTGAAGACTTCCCCCTTCAAAACTTTTCTACCGGAATTTTCCGGAAACCTTTGAGCTACTATTCCGGAAATCCATGAACAGAAAAAATCATTAAAAATGTAACTTGTTGCTTCATGAAAGGAAGTGAATGATTAATGGCGCGAAGAACCCCTTGTCTAAAATTACTGCATCCTCTGAAATCATTCACAGAACAGTTCAAGGCCTAGAAAGTGAAAAAATTTAAAAATGCTAGCAATTCTCCATATTTTGCTGTAAAAATTCTAATTTGCACTTACTAAAACTTTTCCAAGGTTTATTTTTTTGTGGGACCCTCGAGAGTTCAACTTGAAGAGACTCAACTGTATTTCCTTTCCGAAACAAGCAATAATGAGATAATTTATTGGTTCCTTGAAGTTTTCGGAACAGTCTTATGAAAATGCGCATAGCCTCATTTTGAGAATGACGGCGATTTTTCAATCCTTGCCCCTTTTATGCGCGTAAAACTGAAAAATCAGGAGAACAAGCATACTTTTCTGGACTGAAAAATAAAAAAACGCTGTTTCCTTGATATTCGCGAAACACGTTGTCTGCCGTCGAATTCCTAACGCTCTCATATATTGCCCCATTTTAGAGTGGTCACAGGTTAATTTGCCTCATTAATATAAATTGAAATTGTAACGAAAATATTAAGATTAAAATACTGTAAGTTGTTCCTTGTAGAATTTTTCGAACCGAAATTCGGAGGAAATTGTACATCTCTCGGTATCCGTAGAAAAATCAAGTTTTGCTGCGTCATTCACTGAATAAAAGGAGACTGTGGAACGACTGCTACATAATCGTACTATGTACATGCACCTGAATCACGAAATGTGGCAATATTTAACATGTGACTTATTTACTGAAGCACGAAAAGCCTCTCTGATTCAGGTGAGCTTGAAAAAGTGAATCCCTTTGATTCAGTTGAGAGGCACCAGAGGAAATTTCCAGTGTAACTCGATTTCGCGTTGAACCTGTTGGTGATGAAGGCAGAGGACGACCAGAGCAAAGCTGTCTCAGCTCTAGCAGATTCCGGATATGGTGGTACTTGCCAGAGCAAAAGGTATTACAGTACTGTACTTTTACGATGACATTCGCAAGGTTGACGTTAACCTGGTTTTTTTCAGTGCCGATGAAAACAGCAGCAACTCAGCAGACAACTGCTCGCGAAGTGGAACCGGGAGCTCGGGATCGGATCATTTGGGAACAGCATGCAGGTACGCGGTGTAATTTCATGATCAATAAGAACACAATGATGATTTAAATTTGATTTCATTTGCAGTTCCGCGGCGGGAACAAAAGAAGGCGACACTCCAACCACTCCTAAAAAGAAAATAATTTACAATCCTTTTAAAATTCCACTAGATGACGCTGAGCTTCATTCCGGTGCCGCCGAAATCTTCCGAGCTGCACAGTTGGCTCTGAAGTGCTTGAAGAACCTTGCTAGTCAAGATTTTTTCAAATGTGATTCTGCTAAAGCAAAAGGTTGATCATAGAAGAAGTCGATGAAAGTTTTGCAAAAGTTGTACTAATATTGATTAATATCTATGTTTGTGATAGCCAATGCACCGATCGTTGAAGATTCAATCCCGATCAATGCGTCAGAGGTTGGTGTAAATTTTTTTTTGAAATAAAACTGTTTTTTTATAAAAGCACGCTGATTATTGCAGGAAGGATGTTCTTTGCTGGTATCTTTGCAAACTATGTGTGTTGTGCAAGCTTCCCCGACAACCAAGGATACCCTTGGATTTTCCGAGCAAATGCTTTGCTCCAGGTCATTTCTTGACTACATCTATCCCCGAGATCGTTTTGCATTCACATCGGAGGTTACGTCCATCATGCGAGCTTTGGGCGAAGGTTGGTCAATTACAGTATTTCCTCAACACATCGACATTGTTTCTCACCTTTACCTTCGACCCGTTTTCCATTTCGTTTGTGAAGTTCATAAACTGGGCACTTAAATAATTTTTAAATTACTCGTTTCCGTTCATTAAATATTTTGGAACAGGAAAATTATCTCCAGAAATCTGCACGTTTTATATCCGCGTGAGAGGATTCAAGACCTTGGAAATTGCTGGGTTTGATGTCAAAACCAAACGAACCATTTATAAACCATTCCATGGAACTATGCAAATCAAGGTAAGAGAAAGGCATTCAATTTTCCGTCGACTGATCCCTCAGCAGCACTGGAAATTTTTCAGGTTGTGAAGCCTGAACCAGAGCATGGCAAGGATATTTCCATGGAGGAGCCTGAGTATTATACTCTGCTCAAGCTAGTTCCAATCAAAAGTGCTTACGAAGGTGAATGTTCGGACAGTTTCGAGAATGGAACACAATTTTTAAATCGCATTCATTTTTTTAAAGAGGGAAAAGATCCTATTGGCTCCTTCGGGACGCGCCATACATCAAGTTGCCATTTGAGTCACGTTGACCCGGCAGCAATACCATTTCTTGGCTATTTGCCTCAGGATTTGATTGGAAATTCTATCTTTGAATATTACCACCCGGAAGATTTGAGTTACCTCAAGAAAGACTTTGAAAGCGGTAATTACAAGATTTTCCGACGGATCTATTTCGAGTGAATGAAGCTCATTTTTTTCTTGCAGTCTTGCAAAGATCTGGAGCTACTTGTTCCGGAGCAAGATCTCGATTCAGAGCTCATAATGGCTGCTACTTGGTACTCAGCACGGATTGGTCTTGTTTTGTCAATCCTTGGACTTGCAGGCTGGAATTCGTCATCGGACAACACAAGGTTGTCGAGGTACGGAAGTCAGTCAAGCTTTTAGCGCAGTAATCCCTGCCATTCCTTTTTTCCGCAGACTCCATCAAATTCCAACGTTTTTCTGATCCCAAAAGAGACAGATGCCTTGCTTTCTGACAAGGTGCTACAAGACACATCTACCCTGCAAGAAGAAATTCTGGCTATATTGAGCAAGGTGAAATTGAAAAAAAATGAAGCTGATTGAAAATTGGCATCACCAGTAGTTCTCTCAATTTATAGTCAATACGTTTGGATCAGAATAGCACTTCCGTCGCGACGGATGCAAACACTTTCCAGAAGGACATTACTAGGGTTAACAACGTCATTCCACCAACGGAGGAAAAGAAAGCTGACAACAGCGGGCCTGATCAACGGAACAGCTCCTCTGTAAATAAATAAATAATTTTAATTTTTTGGAAAACCCAAAAAAAATTTTTTTTTATTCTTAGGCACAAGAATCTGCTTTGATTGGACACGTGTCTCCGTTGCATGAAGAGCACGAAGGATCCAGAAGCAACACTTCTGGCTCAAGCATAACTACTTATAACCAGCTCAATTATCGCGAAAGCATTTTAAGGTGAATGTTTCGATGCTTCATTTTCTTCACAGAGGTACGGTACTTGACTTTTACGAACCATTTCCACACAGGTTTTTCCAGAGTCAACAGAAAGCAGGAGGCGTGACGGAATATCCATCCAGAAACAACAGCGTAAACAGAATGAAACACCTACCTTTCGAATCAAATGCGCTTTCGACAGATGAGGAAGTTAATGCCATGGATTCGGTTTCCAACATCCAGTAAGAAACATTACCATCCATCGAGTTAAAGCACCGTACCATACTTACACGGTCATATAAAGACACCACACCCTGCTGTTTGACATGATAAGAAAACATAGTCTGAATTCAAACGGGAAACTTCAAAGGGTAAATGAAGTCCTCAGGTACATCTTGAAGTTGCAGAATTCGAATTTTTTCGTACAGCAGACATAAATTTCATGCGCACATTTGGTCCAATGAGCAAAGACTACAAAATATCCTGAAATGGCTGAACAGAGCCCCAAAAATCATAAGAGGAAAATCTGCGTAATATTCCCGTTGGAGGACTTCGTTTGCTCAATTATCTTCTTTCACTGTCCAAAATTTTATCTCATATTGACCAGAGCTTCTGCACAAATGGCTTTCTATGCTGAGATCACTGGAGTTCAAGTTTCACCTAAGTTTTTTAAAACCTATTTTGAGGGAGTAGGTCAGGCCTTAAAAAATCATTAAGGCTATAAATTACTTAGAGATGACAATAACTTGGTCGAAATTCAAACTTCAATTTGCTGTATGAACTGTGCTGAAATAACCGAAAAATACAACGCTGGGAAATTTAAGGGGGGAAATCTTCTGGTTGCTTCTTATTCCACCAAGGATTTATGTTAGCCCGGGGTTTCGTGGTCTAAATTTCACTTTCCGTTCAAGCGCCAGCATACAGAATTATGGATTGCAAATGCTTGTAACTGTGGTTCATCTTCAAAAATACTATAATTATATACAGGTCATGAGGTCACCACTGAGATTTTCAGTCCATTTCTACGAGCATACAAGTCTGTGGCTTAGTATTGAGTAAATATATGGCATTTCTGGTCAACAGCTCAAAGAAGAACAGCCACAATGAGAGTTCCTCCAACAATGTGAGCCACGTGTCGTCATCAAACGAGATCATGGAAATGGGTACCAGCGTCAGCAAGAATTCCCTGCAGCATAGCATGCAGCAAATGAACCATTCCTCTGACCATTCAGAAAGACATAAAATCCCCAACGTTTCACCCGTCTTGGATAAACCTCAGGAAAAAGCCAACCGGTGTCAGCAGTTTCGACAAGTTCCACGGTGTCTCACAGCAATTATTCCTCAAAAGAAGCCATCAGCTCCGACTAAGAGTCAAATCCCTGCTGTACAGCGTGTAGTCCAGCCTGTCAATCCTCTACCGGAGCACAAAGGATGTCTGACGCAGGAAACGTTGCAGAAACACACGAAAACGGAAAGCAAATTGTTTGTTAAGCAGCACAGGCCCGTGAGACCGAAACCTGCTCGCAGATTGACATCAGCGCCTCCACCGGATGCCGTGCAGATTATTTCCGCAGCAACAGCGGCAGTGGTTGCTGGCAAGAGAAACGCAATCACCCCTGACATGGATACCATGGATGACCTCATTGACCGCGTCTCTCGAGCATACATGAGGCATCAATATAACCAGCAAGGGCATCAGTTTCTTCATCAGCAGGGGCACCTGGTGCCACCAGCACCCAGGATTGATTTGGCTCAAACTATGCAGCATCACATGCATTCTAACCAATCCACTTCCAAGCATACGGGCCACGTGAGGACAAATATTTCTATCGACTTGAAACGTCCTGTATTTCACTCTCATTTTGAACAGCTTCAGGACATGGATCGGCGAAATCACAGAGGTGTAAAACGTCCTCATCCCGACGACCACACTACCACGGGTGGATGCGGACGAAGCACCTCAAAACGGACGTGCCATCATCACGGTATGGGTGTCACTCATCGGGGAATGGAGAAGAGCTTCCACCAGGGTAACATGAGCTACTATCCGACGGGAAACCAAGTTTTTGAGTAAGTTTATCCTCACACTAATGAAGATACAACTGGAAATAATTTCAGAAATTTCCCGATTTTCAACAGGATTCCTCAAGTTCCAACTGCGTACGCAACTCCTCAAATTACGTTGCCGATTCAACAAGCTATGGCAACTCCTTTGACGCTCCAGCCTGCAACTCTGCAAAGTAACTCGGACGCGATTATTGAAGTGTTTGTAACCCTGCTCAAAATTTTTTGAATCTCATAGTTCCTCAAGTATACGGCGTTTCTGCAAATCAGGCTGTGGTTACTCTTGTACCTGGATTGTGGAGCAATCAATCTGATCCCATTGCAGTGCACTCTCAGGGGCATCATACAATTACAGGCCAGATGAACATGCGGACGCTTGGGATTCACTCAGATGCTCTGCCAAGCTGCATGACACATCAGGTACGTTTTCAAAAGAATATCACAAGACGATCGAGATATAATGGAGGAGGTACATTTCTGAAACATTCAGGGTCAATCGAAAATTAGAGTATATATTTTAAAATTTGAATCAGGTTGGCAAGCGTCACTTGAGGTGCAAAACATTCAGTGGGCGTATTACATGTATGCTGCTGGTTAAAATAGCAGCATAAACAGGGCCAAAGTAATTTATCAAAATTTTCGGGAGGGCTGGGTACATATATTTTCCATATTTTTGCTACGTATCATTCCATTAAGAATAAATTAATCAGTCGAACTTTAATTTCCTACTAAGTCACATGGCTTGAAATTGGAAGAAATTGTGGGAGGTATATTCCTCATGGCACCTTTTTGTTTTCAATGCTTGTAGGACAACCAGTTGTTCAGGGCAGTTGTGGGAGGCCAAAATTAGTTTTAATTCCTTGTGTATCACAAATGTCTAGTGCACTTCTGTTTGTGGAGTACTTTACTTTTTTCTTGCAGTCATCAATGCCTGACACTCCTTTGGAAGGATCTCACACAACGTCGTTAAAGGCTGAGCCGGGTTCTGGCAAGGAAAGTGGGGCTCCATCACCCTTGCAATTCCCAAAGGATTCTGATGACGACCCAGAAGAAATGCTGCGATGCAGAGAAGGCACGACGTATTCCATTCCTGAAGGAGAATTTGATTTGTCACGCAAACTTTTGTTTAATTCAGATAAGGCAGATGGAGATTGTGCCTGCAAGCAGCACCAGTGCGGTAGCATGCACAGACTGAGGTCTCCGCCAGCCCCGATATGTCGACTGAGTGACTCCGTTGCTCTTCCAGGGTCGTCATCATTTCGCCATGAGGACAGGATGCCACCACGCAAGTCGCAAACAAAGCGAAATGAGCAAAGGATGTCGCGAAAACAGGCTCCTGCACGTAAAGAAGTTACACCAGATTCGACCGAGGACACCTACTCGTTCTCATTGAGCGATGGGTCCAGTGTATCTAAGAGAATTTCCAGCGGCTCATCTGGCTCGATGAAGCCCAAGAGGACCAACTTGCCTCCTTGGATGGAAGGAGTCGAATTCGATGAGAGTACAGCATTCCAATACACCATGCCTGTGGAAACAATCAAGGATGTTTTGCGCCAAGACAGGGAAGCCCTTGACACAATGCAACAGGTGCCCATCCTTTATTAGCGTTATTTATAGCAGTGTTCCCCAACCTTTTTGGTTACGTGGACCGGCAAATTTCCAAAAAAAATTTTCTGTAGACTAGCAAAGTTGAATGAATGAACAGAAAGCTTTATTTTCTGCTTTTCAGCATTCACAAAGTTCAATCAACATTCCCACATCCAAACCCCCTCCCCACCCAACCCAAATCCATTCAAATGCATTCAATAACTTAAGAATGGGAAACATACATAGAGAAAAAAGCTGTATATGGATACCAAAATAAAATAAAATCCATTCCACCATGTACAACTGCACAACTGATGTGTACGCGTACACCCCTTCTTTCTCAGAAAATGGCAAAGTTTCTTAACATTTTCTAAGGACCAGCAAATTTTCATAAAATTTTTGCATTCTCAAAAAAAATGTTGCTTGAAAGACAGCTTGAATGGCAGGTACAGTATTTGAAAAGCTTTTGCTTTTTTGCAAAATTGATTCAGGATCAAATTAAGCAGCTATAGTGGAATACTGTATCTCAAAAAAATGGAAAAGTGGGCTTGAAGAAAGGTTTTTCAGATTTAAAAATAAAATAATTCATTAAATCAGGTAAAAATGTGTCAGAAGTATTATTAGGAGAAAGTCCAATATATATTTTTCATGATATAATTTAAACTGCCATCGTCTTGAAAAAATTAGAAATAAAGATACTTTACTGTAACGTCCTTCATTGCTACTTGCAAAAATGCATTAGCCTGGAGAAATTTCCCGCGGACCAGCAAAAAAACTTCTGCGAACCGGCGCCGGTCCGCGGACCACGGGTTGAAGAACACTGATTTATAGAATGCATTCAATTCATGTTCGATTTTCCCTGTGCAGCCGATTCAGGTTGACGAGCAATTGAACCAGCTGTATGAAGACATGAATGCAGATGATGTCTCAAGCTTGGGGTGCAATGAAGGCACGGAATCTTCAAGTCACGATGAGCTGTAGTGACCAGCAGAACGATGCTCAGTCAGTGTCATCAGCAGAGAGCTCTGCCGACAGCGTAAAGCCAACAGTGGGCTTGCCGCACTGAAACACTCCTTACATACTTCGTAAAATTTAAGAAAATTGCAAAAAAAAGTTCACTTCAAGCGATTCTCTTTGCAAAATTCAAGGGCTCTTAATTGAATGTCTGTTTCCAGCCAACCCAGGTTTTTCTGAAAAATGATGCAGTCGTAGTCTCCGCACTCCATGCACCAGAGGAAGACCCAAACACCAACTATTTAAACTGCTCTATTTTGTGTTCTTTGTCGAATTCGAGACAGATTTCTGTATCCGTGTTTCCAAACTTTCCATGTTCGATGTTGTGTATGCTTTTCAATTAACTATTGGTGGATATTTCATTCATAGCACTTATTAGTAGTAGCTCATGTTTCAATGTTACCTTCGATTTTGCTCACTCTCATTATTATGTGATGTTCGGTGGATTTATGGACGTAATTTTTGGAGCTGCATGAGTCCAATTCCGATTTGAGAATAAATGGTTTTGTGTAATCGTGAAGTTCAAATATCCAGCGTCTTTGAAATAAATGTGATGAAAATAAGTTTATAACTTTTGTAATATTGGAACAAACATTCTGAAAGATTTAGATCTAACTTTATACCTCTGTCATAAAAAGGAAACATGGAACATTGTCTCCTAGGGTGTAAACTTTTCAAATTGAAATGATCCCATGATTAAATCATACTCATACACAAGGAACCCTTTTTCAGAATAAAAATTGTGGGCCCGTTCAAAACCTCACAAATCCCACAAATTTCTGATACATGGATCCTATATTATAATTGTATCTTTGCTGATCTGTGCAAAGATGGAATGTAGGGTCCAAAGTTCGTTAAGGTTTTGCTTGCTTTTTAACAGCGCATATGCTGCTTCTACAAATAATAGCATCTCTACTGCTCTGCCGAACAGTAGAGCTATTCACCAGCATCGGTCAGGTAGGTTCTTTCAGTAATTATTTGAATTTATTGAAATAAGAATTTCAATGCCACAATATTTATATAAATGTTCGCATATTTGATGGCACCAATTAAAAAAAAGCTAGACTCACATAAAAATTCCAACAGCTGACATGTTATATTCAAAAGCCTCAAAGCAAGAAAAGGAAGTATTTTCAGTGTTGAACGATGAAGAAATAATTCTTGCAAACATAGATTAGCACGTAATTAGACTAGATTTTACACATGAACTAATGAAACATGGTCCAGGCATTTATCTGGCGTGTAAGTGCCATTCCTTAGTATAAGTTGACTTCACATTCAACACTTTCGTTTTGGTCAAGTCTCACAAATGAGCTGAAAAGACCCTTCTAAATGCATGGTAACGGGTGGTTTTCACTTTGCTTCTCTTCTACAACCGTCATTTCCATTGCTGGCTTGAAGGTGATTTTTTATTTCACCCGCATCATAAACCAAAGCGAGAACAGCAAACACAAGTGCAGAGGAAAACTTTGACGAAAAGAAGTACTGTACAGATCTTGGAGAGAGGACTTCACTCGTGCATGGCATATGTTATCCAATCCAGGTAATTAAGTTTTTAGTAGACTCCAGGAACCCGGATAAAAACCCAAAATTGTCTACCGAATGAGACAATTCCAGCTTTGAGGAAGGAAGTGCTGGTGACCTCCAATCACCAAAGGCCATATATATCATCATCTTTACAGAAATCCGTCCCTAACTGACCCCCAGCACGCAATTTCTACACTTTGAAACCAGATCTTTCAAATCTGATATTGTTCGGCAGACAACACAAAAGTTGATGGTTGTCTCGTCAATGGAAATGGAACATCGATTCAAACATGGGATTTGGTTTTCAATTTCTGTTAAATTGAAAACAAAGTTGGGTTTGTGATTTATTTTCTTCCAATTAAAACGTCGATTAGCGAGTCAAACATAAATTCAACAATCATCCATGCACGTGTAATTGCGACAACTGCTTACGTTCGAGTGCTGCGTTGAATAAATGCCTGCAGGTCAGTCTTGTAGGTGACTCACCTGATTTGTTGATTGCAAAGCATGATTGTTTTCAATATTCTAATTTGATGAGCTTTGCGGGAATGCATTTTTAGTTTTTGATGCACAAAATATGACCCAATGTGTCGCTTGCGTTAGGGCCTATCAATGTTTGTACTGTATATGAGAAAGATTTATTTGAGAAAATCTTCCCATGCCGTTATTTTTATTTCTTGGCGCGTATAGTTATTTTGTAGATAATTATTCCTTCACAGTGTGGTTTCAGGGCATTTTTGGCAATGATAATCAGGATTATAAGCTGATGCAGGTTATTCCTTCCATTATGTTCTTCAATTATCTGGATTCCAGAAATAAATCCGATGTGGTCGTAAAAGTTTCTTCAGCTAACTTACCCAACTTAATTTGTCTTCATCCGGTCGGAAAACAATTGGATACACTCATGTCCTTGGACGTCTTCATCGTATATTGCAGGTTGAACAAAAAACAAATATTTATGTTGCGGTGATTATGGTGAAAAATGGTCAGTCACGGTACTGGCATGCAACTTTCAGGCTTCTCGCTTTACTCGATTTAAAAAATGAGGGGAGTTTCATATGGCCTGAGAGAATTAACGGAAACGTCATGTTTGTGACATCCGAGAACATGAAATTTGAAGAACAGATCTTCTCGCTCTCTTCCTTCACGTGATGTTACATTTTTGAGACTTCGAGGTAAAAATGGATCGTTTACATGACCCGCCTTATCCTTTATTTCTTGCATGATCTTTGCTAACTATAGCAACGACGGCACACACAAATAAAAGGAGAAGACAATGTCCATGAATACACTAACATCATGTTCAGTCTCCCACGATTTATGACCATGTTCAGACCAACGCAACGCGAATCATCAGCAGCTACTTCTGGAACAAGGCGATTGATACATTTCCTGAGAGCACTGTACGAACACCTCTAAAATGCTTACATATTACAGCAAAATGGTTGTTTGAAGTAATTAAAGTTTTCAAGAAATCAACACGCGCATCAGATTGAAGTAATCGACGAGCAAAGGAATTATTGATTGGTCAGTTTCGGTAAATGACATCAAATTAATGTTTTCTTGACCGGTAACAAGCATTAGACGGATGTACAGTACCATGCTACTCATATAATGTATTGCACTGTACTGGCTAAGGCCACTGCATAACTCCAAAACTCCACTGCAAGACAAGTTATTGTGTTGGAGAATCGAGAGTGTTTAGAGCAATTCACAATTTCCTGATAAATAATTGATTTGTGCGTCATCATGCATCATCCTTCGCGTCATAGCAATCATAGAAATCCATCAAGCGGAATGTTTACCAGGATGCATAACCGGTACAGCGACGGGAGACTCGCCCTTAGTCTGAAACAAGACTATTTACCAATGTCCCAGGTGAAATGAGGTGATTTTTATAAAGATTTTCCCATGTTGAATTTGTTCTTTCAGGGTATAGCAAATTGTTTTCAACGCCCCATGTTTCACTATTCAGGAGATACACCTATGGTAACATTACTACAACAAGCCGTGTGGGAAAACCGTTGTTAAAACGAATCATTTTTCAATGTCCCTGCAATAAAGCTACAGTGTTTTTTGAGGATCGATGCCCACAAAATTTTTTATAACGAAAGTTTTACACCTGTCCCCGATTTTTTGCTGTTTCCTTTTCGTGTAAGGAGATTATAATTTATTCACAGATTAGTCCATTATTCCATTTATTTTTGGTATCCATCATCAGCAGTGTGATTTCACTCATATTAACCTGGCCTCAGGCCGAAGAACAGTAAAAGGCACAAATGGCCACATTTTTCTGATGTTCGCACCCTCTTGCTGTAAAATTTCGCTCTATGGGTGCTTTGGCCCTGACCTAGCACACCAAAATTTACATAAGATGCATAGAATTCATCTTTCTTAATTTTTTATTTGTCTTTTGGATGCCACTGCAGGCATACAATGCATTTGTCAACAGGAGTCTATGTGGTGAGCGTTCTGCACTATGACCCATCGCTATGCAAAAATCAAACCTTGTCCATATGAGTGTGCTTTCAGAGCAGTGACTGCCTCAAGAAATGCTCGACACATTGCAAAATGAGAGCATCGACTCTATTGTTTCTGTAAATAAGCCAAGCGAACATTTTTCAATTCTGGGAGACGACAGGTGCATGCAAACGGACGAGAGGAGTGCCAGTACTGTACATGAACTCATTAACTCAGCCGAAAAATAATTTCCAGGGAACATTCGGAGGCTATACTTGAGCCCTTTTAGCTTGCGAAAAATTCTCCAGCGCGAGACTTTTGGTTACCCGACAACTAAACCAATCCCTGTGTTAATTAGGCTGGGACGAGAGTAGAGTCAGAATATTTTCATCTCCTGCAGTTGAACGCGCCGTAGAACATACGTTTAGACAATTCTTTTCAACTACCGCACTGAACTTCAAACAAATTTCATTTGCGATTGGAAACGCCAGAAACTCGGTGTAAAATATGATATAAAAAGTGCATGATTGAGACGGGATGCATCAGACCTTTGAGCACCCTTGTTGCATTATGACGCGGCATGCCTTCGCCGGGTTAATGTTATTTAAAAAAAATGAGCAGACATGACACAGATGGACGTCGATTATGTCATGACATAGCATATCACTATTACTGACATCCTCGCAAAGTGCGTTGGTCGGAATATTTAGTCAGAGGGAGATCAGGTGTCTCAAATGAAGATTATATTGACCAATTTCTCTTTCAAACATTTTAACTACGGTTAAGTTGATAGAATTTATAGACAGTAGAAGTAGAAATAATTAATGCTCCACTGTACTCTTTATATGTCTTGAAAGCATGTTTCTTCACGAATTATAGGAAAATCTCATGTACTACACGAGGACGAGGACGAAATCGTTCAATCGTGAATACAATGCAAACGTAACACACACAAATTCATTCACGAATGAACAGAACCATTCTGTTTCTCTGACCTAAAAAATATTGTGTCATAAAGAACAATTACTGTACTTCAATTCCACCATCCCCAGCAAATAATTTGTT